ACCCGAAGCGTTGGAAAAACTTAAAGGTCATGCACAACGCCTGTTTCGGTGGCCATGTCATAAGTTCACTGTACAACACGGCCCGAGATCCGGGAATGTGACCGTTAGGACGGCCACCTTGGATGAAAAGGTAGCTGCCTGCAATATCATAAAAAGCGAGTTACAAATCGTGAGAAGCAAACCCTTGCAACTATATGAAACTCACTGTCTGCCACTGGTCCGCCTGCTGGTATTCTGTTAGTGCACTGCATTGTGGCATAATCCCCAAGTAGATGCTGCCGCCAACATATCCTTACGCTTCCAGTATTGAATTTACAATCACCCGGATAATAGCAATCGCCTGGTGTCACCGCGAAATCATCAAACGCAACGGCTCCTTTGGCTCCTTTTTCGCTGCTTACCGAAAACGTTACCTAGACGTTCCCACAATTTATAGAAAATATATAATTGAAATTACAATTCATAGAAAATATATAATTGAAATTACTCAAGCCCAGTAAACCTTACGTCCAGGTCGTATGTGCTATCCAGTCCCCGTGCAAGAACGGTAGTTTTGACAGCTATCCATTTGCGCCCGTGTGGAATGTTAGTAGTGAACAGTGTTCGCTGAGTTGCTCCCGCATTCATCAGCACCTTCAACTCGGGACCATTCTTGACCGGACCTTTTAGTAAATGGTAGAAAAATGAGATGCACTGGTCACCAGATAGCGATCTAATGGACGAGTATTTCATGTCTGCTCCCTGACCTCCAGTCCCAGTCCACGTGTCTGTATTCGGTCCAGGGTATAGGAAGCCATACTGACCTATGCATCGTAAAACCGTAATGCATAAAATAAAAGCAATTGCTGAAGACAGATGGTATGAATATACCGGCCGGAGCATTATGTGTATGGTCTGCGTTTGGCTTGACTGCCAACAGAAATGCATCACTTTGCACGTCGAAGTCGCGGCCGTTGGTAATCTGCCAGTTGAAATTGTTCACAGTGGAGGTAGCGCTGAACTTGCAAGCCCCATCCTCAAAATCACAGAATGCGGATGTGGGCGTGGACTTTGCGGACACGGTATAAGTGTGCGGTCAGTTCAAGGCATAGAATGATCTTTTTCTCGGTTCCTGTTTAAAATATAAAAAAGAAGTAATTATGTTTCGGGAAATTTGTGTTTTGTCCAGGGAGCAAAAAATTTGACGTTTGCGCACCCCGCCAAGGTCCACTTCGAAACAGCAGTAAAAAGCGCTCGCCACACTAACATCTGTTCGCAACGAGTTGTCGTACCGATTTATACGTGGTGCATTTTCCAATTTCTACTGTTTAGAACTGACAAAGTGCAATTACCTTGACCAAATCCTATAAGTAGCGATATACCCAATATCCGTCCTAACCCGGTCATTTTGGGAAATATCGGTATTAGGCGAGGAAAAAAAGGTACAAACTGTTACAAAAAAATTTAAAATGCGTATGAATAAATCAGGAAGTACAGTATCGCACACCGAAATCACGAGCGTAATCGCCCTCGGCTAAATCATTTGTTCTAAGAGGCTTAACCTTAGAATTCAGAACGGTTAATTACCGTCGTAGTGCAGACAATTTAGTTTGCAGTTCTCGTATCGCTGATACAAGTCAAAGCGTAAATGCAGCGAACATTTCTATGAATACCGGCGCGTTAAAACGAGAAACCGTCAAATGAAGATAACTAATCAGAAGGACATTTCCTATGCATAGGCGGATGTGAAGAATACTGCTTTTATACGATTCCACGCGACTATCGCTCAGAAAAAAAAAGGAATACAATCACATAGTTTTCTTTTATTGTCCTTTCCTTAAAGTTATCTTTTTACAACGCTATCTTCCAACCAGCTTCTGAAATTCAACAGTTTAGTGAGACAGTTTAAAGGAACTAAAGATGATGTCACTGGCAGAAAAGAGACTGTTTACTTACTTACTATACACAGTTACATAAAGACAGAATGCAGTTTGCAGGGGCGTCAAAAGAACTGTTCCTTCAACGCCAACAGAAAAACGGTTATTTGGATGTATGTGATGCGATGCAAACCATGAAAATTTTGTGACCAAATTGATAAATAAAAAAATTATCGTTTCGCGACATGCTGCAGCATAGAGTTGTGGGACACTGGCTCACACGAACTAGGCAAAAACACACACACACACACGAAACTGCCACCATGTGCAATAACAGAAATGAAAACGGCTATTGTTGTATTGTCCAAGTTGTCACTTCTTTGAAACCAAGGAAGCCATGCGATCTAAAAACTGAAGAAAAGCAGTTCGACACTGTAAATCCAGCGGTGCAGAACGGAACACCAGTTCACTCGATTCCACCAAGTCCGGATCCTCGGCACTGAAATCAAACTGCCCTTTTGAACACGTGACTACGGTTGGCAGATGCTGATTGTCGGATCGGCTAGTCACGCCGGCCGTGTCCAACAGCCACAGATGCAAGTATCGCAAATGCGTCCGGCACCGATAAGTGTTGTCGGCGCTGAATACAGCTTCTGCGGCGTCTGTCGTCTGGAAATCCGTCTCGTCCATATCGACGACACCCTTTCGGTAACGGCAGTTAATCGGAAGAGCAACGTTGCCTGCAGTACAAGTTGGCCTGATGACGGTTGGACAAGGGTCGTTCGTTGTCATTGGCTCAAAGATAGCGGCGGTCCGAGAGCTCTCGCTGGTAGTAAAAGATGTCGTAGAGACGGTAGTACTGATGGTCAGAGGCTGCCAGTTAGAGATGCTATCATCGTTGACTCGCTCTCACCAGCGGCAGGCACTGCATTGATTTCTGGAATGGTAACTGAAAAGTTGATATAACCGCGAATTAGAAGATAGGTTACACTGCAATACAAAGCTCCATGTCCATCGAAGCGCTAAACCAATCGACTATTGGATAAAAGTTTCAATGTGAAACCTTTATCTATTTTATCACACTATTTTCTTTTTCTCGGTTCTCGATGAACTGATATTTGTACCTTCTTGTTAGCGTTTTACTATTTTTCGAGCTTCCGCATTTGTAATTGTAATCATACATTTGTAATCATAAAAGCTTGGCAACGAACAGCAGTACCTTTTAATAAAGCGCCTTATAAGTCAAAAACGACTTCTTTAATTAAAGAATGGAACAAGTGATACAACATACGGATCCGAGATTTCGCACCGAGTAATTCCTTCAGTCGTTAACTAAGTTAACAACTTTTTTTAACAACGGTGCTAAAGAATAAGGGTAAATCCAATTATCCAAGGCGCCAAACCAATAAAGAATCCCAGTTAGGACATTCAACATTAGGAACGGTATGTAACGCGGATGCAACGCAACACAAATGTAAGCCAATAAGTATGGTTCTCTTCTTTCGGTAAAAACTGTGTAACTGAATGACAGCAGCGGAACTCAGGCCAGTCTTCATCCCTTGACATCCGTCGATGTACCTCCATCGAAGACGCGTCTATCGTCGGCCCATAATACCTTTTCTTGACCGACATTCTGAACTTAATGGATGCGAATTACCCTTTAACCAGGTGATTACAACTTGCACTCGCAGACGCTGACTGTTGGATCGGTTAGTCACGCCGGCCGTGCGTGACAGCCAATATGCAGATGGCGCAGATGAGTCCGATACCGAAACGTCCTGCCAGCGATTAACACGGCTTCTATATTGTCTTACCTCTTGAAATCTGAGCCATCTATTCCGACTAAACCCTTGCAACAACGGCATTGGATAAGAAGAACATTGTCGACTGCCGTACAATTTGTCGTAATGGTACCCGTTATTTGGCATGCCTGCTCCGTAGTGAGAGGTTCGAAGGTTATGGTAGGAAAGCGTGGATGGAACAAGAGAAGTTGTCGATGCTTTTGATACGATGGTAATCGTTGGTCTATCAGTCGTGGTCATCGTCATAGATTCGCTCACCACGACAGCAAAAATTTTGCTAATTTCTGGAAATTTCGCTGAAAAGACTGGATTAAATATGAAATTTGATTTAAACTCATGGTAAGATCCCAGAACTATCACGTATGTAAAAGAAAAAAACCGGCAAGAAAGCAAAACTGAAAATATTAACTGCAACCGGCTTACGTTTGACAATTTATTGTACCAATGGTACTATTGGGTAATGGCGTCGGGTGCGAACCTGCGGCCATCCATCTCTGTGTTTCGCCCAGAACAAACTTGTACGCATCGCACTGACTGACGTACCAGTTGTCTGTTGAGACCCAAACTGTACGCTGCGAGTGCAGCGTCACACATTTAATCCAGAATCGGCTTCGCAGCTGGTAACCGGTGAGGTCACGAACTGTTACATTATATCGGAATTGACGGCGGCCAGATCACCGCCACATTTACGCAACAGATACGCTGGTGTTTTGAAAGATCCCGAGTTTTCACGACCCAAAGGAGTCCGCCGATAATGGCGGAGTACGTTGCCCATTTAGTCCGCCGATAATGGCGGACTGCGCGCTGCGTATAAGGTGAATTTCCAGTACCATCAAACTTGTGCGTAATGTGACCAAGGAGCTGCGATTCACCTTTGGAAGTTTTAGGCGTACTCTGTACGATCGCTTTGGTGTGCCATCCCGAACCGCTCCTGCCTGGTCTAAAGAAATTCCAAGCTGCGCAGCTGTTATGCATTTTCGCCGCGCAGATTTGGTGTAAAGTAATAAAATGTCGATCATGAATGCGCAAGAAGTGTGGATAGAATCACAAATATATGCGTCATGGCTTGTAACAGCTTCGGCATAACACAAATCACTACAACTATTCGTTTCACGAGTATTAATTTTATCTTTGTAGCCCGCTACTGGATTCGTTCAGATGGCTGGGTGTGTCGCTAGTTTGGCAGTTTTTCGTTTTTCATTATATAAATGCAGTTTGATCCAATATGGTACAGTTACCTATTTCGTTACAGCAACATGACATTAAGAAACAGGAGTCGTTTAGTGTTTAGTAAAACAGATGCGAAACTGGCCAAACACATTATTCTTTAACTAACTGCAACGTTTCAGCTCAATAACGGTGGTTTGTACAGATAACACTGGCGATAACATTTATTTGTGAAATATTTCTAGAGTACAATCAAGAACTGCAATTCATATAGTGTATGTAATCACCGCCCCTGCCGAAGTTATTTGGACGGTGGATTCTCGGCTTTCTTGGGCGGCTTTTTCGGGACGGAGCCATCTTCGGCATAATCCGCGAACACGTCCCGCGGCGCATGCTCCAGGGTGATCACTTCACGGTCCGCGGCAAAACCAGCGTAAAAATTGGCAAACGAAATGTCCGCGACACTGGGCCATCGCTGTTTAGCCACATCGAGCATGTCTACCAAATCCGGCAGAACTTTTTGCAGATCACTCGGAAACGCTCTCATTGGGTTGATGAAAGTGTGCTCCGGGATGACTTTAGACTGGAAGGCACTACAAAGAACGAGCATGGATATTAATTTTAATTTACAACGGTCAACGATTGCCGCAGCTGGCCGACAGTTTCACTTACAGATAAGAACTGAAAAAATATTTTCCCCAAGACCTACAGGTACCTCATTTTTCGCTTCTGCTTGACTGTTTCTTTCACTTTTCCCGACTTGCCCTCAGGATACTGGACAAGGATGCCGATGTAGGATTTGCTCAGATACTTGAACTTGTAGATGTGCGCAAGGCAGAAGTCCTCCATCATCGCCTTAAAGCGCTCACTGATTGTTTCAGCGGTGTCTGCAATGCAAATATTCAGATATGTAGGACGATAAATTATCAATCCGTAACTGCCATGTTTACTTAACTTTGATGACTTAGCCATTACAACTGGCGAAAGAACTAATGGATGGCACTTATCAGTCATCCGAAGCTGAGCTTAATGCGCAACGTAACTAACGTTACTCGTATAAAATACCAGTTGCTAGCTAGCAGATGCTGGCACCTGCTCACCCACCACGATTTGGCTGTTCTCATCGTCAGTGATCAGATGTCATCACTGCGGATTATCATCAGTTTCCATTGCTTTTATACAATAGAATTCCACATCACCAAAGGCTTTTGTCTGATGTGTCATCATCGTTTCACACCTATTCTCACGATTTCCATCTCCTTACTCACGGCGGTTGAACCTTACATACAAAATACGATAGAAGTAGTCATAAACTTTATGCTCCTTCCAAAGTGATGACACGACGTCTAGCACACGCTGTTTCACGCCGACGAAGATAACTTGAAAAGTTATGGAAAGGCATGCGCTCAAAATATGGTCCGCTAGCTATGATGCGCTTGATAGTGGACACAGACTTATCTCCAGACTAGTTACTCTTTATTTCGCGCAAAGCTAAATCTTTAATTTATAGGGTTTAGCGATCAGCGGAAATCAAAAATCAGATGCTGCGTGCTCCTTAGTAACCCAGTGATTATTGTCACCTTTACTACGTTTTCCGAACGGATCCATTATGCGTACTAATAAGAAGGCACGAATATATAGTACAGTACAACGTTACAGAGGATGCAACGTATCAGAGTACAGAGGATTTTCAGCTTGTCAGACCGCAGTTTGCAAAAACACTAATTAATTTAATTTGTTCGATGGGGAACTGGACGGTACAAAATACATCCATTGTGTAGTACAAACTTCGTACTAAGAACTTAAGAACACGGAACGCTTCCGGTCACATTACAACTTCGCCTCTGTGGTACTTTACGAAAGGAAGTGTTTTCGGTTATTTTGCGCAATACTAAATGTGCGTAAGAAATTGTTTGGGAATGGCTGATACTTGGCATTGTTTTGCAGATTGACAAATAGTAGTTTTTTTTGGAGTGTGCGTTGGGAAATTTGACGACTTACGACTGCAAGTTCGGTTTTTTGTGGGTGGCAACCAGTAAATAGAAGCGTGTTGCGACGATGCTGGCAGCACATCATGTCGTTGAGCAACTACACACGCTGCATATGTTTTTATGGCGCAACTTTTACAGCGAGGCTAAATTGCTTGCGGTGGTCACGAGATCGCAGAAATTTATTGATAATGGAGATGCATTTACTTACGCGGTGTTTTCTCTTTCGGTGTACAGACTCCAACTACGTGTGAGATCGCTCAAGTGCGTCGGGGGCGTTGAAGAGCACGAACAAGATGTCTTACACCCTCTATCAATCAACTCGAGCGCGAACACAGTACCGGAAAGCCCTAGGGCAGTTAAAAACGTCATCACCAATTTTTCGTTAAGCGATTATTCAACGCTGCTAATCCACTTAAAGGTTCTCTTAGATTTTCTTATTGGTTCTCTTGGCTTTCCTAGGTTTTTCACGTTTTCATATTCTTCCCAGCATTCCTAGGGTTCTAAGGTTTTTTAGGTTTCTTTGGTTCCCTAGGTTTCTTAGGTTCTTAGGTTTCTCAGGTTTCTTAAGTTTCTTAGGGTTTTTTTCGCTAGGTTCCACTCGGGTGCAATAAGTTTCGCAGACTTAATTTTTTTCCCGCCGATTCCTGTCACGTTGCGTTAAGTTCTGTTGGGTTCTGTTTTGTTCCGTTAAGTTTTGTTAGGTTCCGTTAAGTTCCATTAAGTTCCGTCAGGTTACGTTGAGTTCCGTACGGTTCCATAGAGTTCCATAAGGTTCCGTCAAGTTCCGCCAGATTCCGTACAGTTCCGTTAGTTACAGTAGCTGAAAACTGTCGCGCGTTTTCAACCTAAACAATCAGTGCCATATCTCGAGATCTCCGCTGAAGCGGATATACTGCGTGTGCACACCTTGAGCCAGGTACTGCACTTACGCAGGTTTCAAGGGACCTTTATCCAGAACCAACACGAAAGGATACCAGTACAACCAACACGAAAGGAAAGGATACCGTTTCAGCGCAGTAGTAACAGACCCAACTGACCTAACAGTCTTTGTTGCCTATAGCCCAGGCAACAAAGACCAATACTGCGAAGGAATTCGAAAAGTTCTTTGTAGAAGACGTCCTGTTGAAATACGGAATGGCGACCTTCATCCACTCAGATAGGGGAACTCACTTCACGGCGTAACCGTTCGACAAGGTCACGAGGAAATTTGGCATCCAACACACGCTTGGAAAAGCCTGTCATCCGAAATGACAAGGACAAGTCAAACGGCAAATGCAGACGATATGAGATGGAACACGAAAGTTCTGCGACGTAAAGGACAGACACCGTTGGCACAAAGCCTTACCCTACGTCGTCTGCGGGATGAACAGGGCAGACTACGCCATGCTACATGTTATACGGTCGGGAAATGACCATGCCACAAGATGTAGTAGCCGGAACCAACGCATCGGAACACTTTACTGACAAAGAACACTGCCTCAGGTGGATCAAGGAACGACTTTAAGGCTCTCAAGAAATAGCCCGTATCAGCATCGATGAAGCCTTCGAGCGGAACGCCGAAGTCTACAACAAGAAGAAGTCGACACCGACCTTCAAAACGAAAGATAAGATAACTGTCGAATATCCGAACAGGGACCCTTCCAGAATGGAACGGTACGATGGAGTTTGGATCGTCATAAAAAACGTTGGCCCAAACAACTTACTCCTTCGATGAGAATAGGCGCGAAGACACCGTAGCTGTCAACCAAGTAAAAACATTACCGAGCTGAAACGCGTCGACCGGTATCTCGGTCAGCCGGCCCAATACAGCCTGACAGCCGACCAGAGTCCCCACTTGGGCCCGGTAGACCGGCCCAGAGTGATGACGGGAGTCATTAGGACTCGGAAGCCGACCACACAGAAGGGACGGTAACGCGTGAACCGAGAAAGAAGTCCGAAGTAACAGTCGACAAACAACCGGAGAAGCCGGATACGGCTCACTAACCCGAAACGAAGGTTAAAGGTAAAAGAGATTGACCTCGGAAGAAACCGCTGACGGAACTCAAGACATCAGGACTGCAGGAAATGCAGAAGCAAAATGTGTTAGCGGATAAACCTGCACCGGCTACGGAAAAACCGGCTGAAACACGGCACCACCGACCAAGGAGAAACTAATGGAGTCAGATAACAAGTCGGAAGCATCGGTTCAACCGACCGGCCGACCTACGGAGGAAATGAAAAAGTCGGTAACCAAACCAACCAGGAGAAAGGAAACGGTCAAAACTACCGACCCGTCGGCCCCGACCACAGAAGTCAAGGTAGCCGACCAAGCGGTCGAGCAGAACAAGTCGAAGGGGAGGTATAATACGAAAAGGACGGTCGAAACAATAAATACGCCAACACTGACCACAGAAGACATTGTAGCTGACCAGGCGGTCGAACCGACCAAGCCTAAAAGAAAATACGGAACGGTCAAGAAACCGAAGCTGGCAGTACAACAAGTGCTAAAGGAGGCTGAAGTCGCTGAAGCGAAGCCCATAAGGAAATTCTCGAGAGGATTTTGAAAGGACGGGTGGACTCGAAGAAACCGACCAAAATTACAAATTCAAAGTTACCCAAAACAGCAGTCACAACAGAACAGACTAAGTTATAGGGCCATAGGTGTAACTTAGAATAATTAGTTATAACTAGCTTAGCAGCAGCTAGGTACAGATGGAGCTTCGGTGTCGGAATAAAACCTCTTCAGTTGATCCGAACATCTTCAGCTGAACGTACGGGAGTTGGAAGGATTCTAACACGCCGTATTTCCTCTTCTTTACACTAAACTAAAATGTCGGACCGACATCGACACGACACACCTTACAGCGGATCGAACAGTGGACGCAGCGGAACGAGCCGATCGCACCCGTGCCAACCGCACAATCGCTCGATCTCGCGATCGGATAACCCGCGGGTAGCCACACAGACGCCAGCACCGCAGACGCGAACACAAACGTTGATCAGGGACTGCCGACACTGCAGCGAAAATGCAACACAACAGGGCAACACACTCCCGTGTGTCAACGAGAATGTTTTGCCTATCTTCAAAACGGGAATATTTTGTCGCTGACATAACTGGAATACTACGAACTGAACAAATAAAGTGTACGTTTGACTCCAGGGCAAATAAGCAGAACAACGAAACGATTATAATTGGTTTTCGAGTTAAAATACAGCTCTTATTAAGGGGAATGACCCGGTACATGGTGTCAAGCATGGGATACATACACTAGAACTTTTGCTTTCGTGCACTCCGAATCACTTTTTTGTAATACTTTATGTCATTCAAAAGTTAAATGATTTGTATACTGTTCTGGAACCGTTTACGCGCGCAAAATCCTGTTGCCGAGATATGGCGAACTAAATGGGGCGAAAAGTTAAAATGCATTGTTGTATACCAAAAGTCTGGTAATTACCCGTACTTCTTTCGACTTTGCTATAAAAGACACATGACCATAAAGTCGAAAGTGAACCAATTTCAGGTTCATAGCATTCTCCCATAATTTTAGAATGAATTTTAAAATTTTTAAAATTCATTTCAAGTTCGAAAAAATGCTAAAAATCTGATATTGGTTCACTTTCGACCTTATGACCATGACGTGTCTTTTATAGCAACGTTTCAAGAAGATCATTAACCAGACCAATGGCACACAACAGTGCATTCAAACTTTTCACCCATTTTAGTACTTCACCGGTTGGTGCGCGCGCAAACAGTTTTCAGAACAATGTACATGACTTGAAGTCATTTAGCTTTAAAATGATATAAAGTACTGTATTACAAAAAAGTGATTCGGAGTGTGCAAAAAGAAAAGTTTTGGCGAATGTATCCTATTTTTGACGCTATGTACTGGACCACCCGCGATCCATAATCGGTAACCATTTGCGACTGGCGAATAAGTTCACCGAAGTTTCTGTTCCAGACTTCCAGAAAAACGTTTTAAGCCGTGAGCCAGGAAGCACTTCTGCCGGCTATGCGCGTGGTCAGTCTGCCGTACATGAATACAGTTGGACGATACATCGTACCGCGTACGGTCAGTTTATTAAGGGGATCGATCCACTTAGTTCAAACTGTGAAAGTACGTATACACTTTTGCACACAACACTTTAAGAACCAGGACATTAAACAGTTTTCCGACTTCATCAAATTCTTCAGGTTGCTCTGGCAATCAACTGTCCGCTTATGCTCTCGTTCGGTCCGAGTTGACGGTCCAAGTGAGGTGAATTTAGGAAGCTGGCAGTCCTCGTTCAAGGTAGCATCCAAATCCAAGTTTGAGTAATCCAACTCCGAGTCGAACTGTCAAAACCGCAGGCAGAGCCAACCAAGAGGATGACTTTTGGTTTTGGGCTTGAATACGTCCGATCAGAATCGGGCCAGCACGATGCCGCATGCGATCCGATCAAGTTTCAAGGCGACCATGAAACATGAAAAAGTTTGTCTGCATACAGTACCGAACACCCAAATTAAAATACATAATAATTTTATTTTCGTACAACACCAAGCACAAAATGTCAAAATGAATCACAAGTTAGCCTCTCGGCTTTTGTTGTCGGCACGGGCAGGGTGTAAAAGGTGGCAGTGGCACCTGCCACTGGCAGTTGCCACCGACACCACTGGCAGTTGCCACCGGCAACTGCCGTCGGCAGACTCGGCACGTTGTACGACACGAGTACTCGAAAATTGTAACCATCCAGAAAACCGCGAAGTATTTACACAAGTACTGTACTGGAAGTTTATCGGGATGTTTGGTTTTGCTAGGATACTCCTGAAACTTTTTCTAGAGCCGCATTTTCCAGTATAAGAAATATTCTCAATAATTATGATCTCGCATTTGATGAGGCTTGTAAATGAGCTAAACTTTAAATGCCCCCCAGTTAATCAACCCCACGAATTCGAAACTAATGCATGCCTCTAATACAGTGAACAGAAGAACTGAGAAGCACTGATGTCATTGTCCAGTGCAAAACTCCAGATGAGTATGAGTGAGTGGTCGAGCTACCGCTACTGTCTACTCCAGCGCACAAAATCCTTCCAAGCTACGCCACAACCCAGTGCGTTAAATCATGAATTATGTCAGTGACTGAGCTGCCACCACTGCAAAAAACAGATGAGTGAATGACCCACTGCACGAAAACTTTAGGTTGGCCGAGCTACCACTGTTCAGACCGCATTCGATTTAGGTGAGTTACAGTAGTTTTCGCGCTAACTCAGTGCTCACAATCATAACTCAGCATGACTACAATACTGTCCAGTTAACCAAATCGCTAAGAAAACCAGTGATCGAGTTGCTACCACTGTACAATGCATGCGTAGTGAGTGTCATGTTTAGGTAGGACCGTCGGAGACGTCAATAGCCCGCCTTCGAGTCCTTGCTTTAGAAGTCTTCAAGTCTCACAGTAACTGCTAACGCAATTAATGCATGAATTAATGCATCAACTAATGAGACATTCGTTCAAACCGGCCGTGAATCACAAGAAACGAACACCAAGCTGCAACCGTTCTTGTAAGTTGTCACTGTGCAAATACGCGTAACAGTATTAAAGGAAATTCTGCAATAATGCAGGCGAGGTTAAGAGTGGCGCTCACGCTACAACAAGGCATGCATCTTCCCGCGTCGGATCACTTCGGCCGCGCTACATTTCGGCCGCACAGGTTCACTTCGGCCATCGTTCATTTCGGCCGTGGCTCACTTCGGGCAACACTCAATTCGGCCGACGCTCATTTCGGCAACTAGACATTTCGGCCATCATAGTTCTCCTGGGTTTCCTACGTTTTTTAGGTTTTCTAAAACTTTTAGGTTTATTAGTTTCTTTGGTATCTTAGGTTTCTTAGGCTTTAAGGTTTCTTAGGTTTCTGAGGTTTTTCTTACGTTTTCTTAGCTTTTCTTAGGTATCCTTTGGTATTTGAATTTAGATTCGTCATGGTTTCTTTGGTTTTCTTAGGTTTTCTTTGATTTCCTTATGTCTTCATAGGTGTCTAGGTTATCCTTATGAGATTTATGATATGAAGATTTCTTTTCATTTTTTATGTGTTCCTAGGTGTCTTACGGTTAGGTTCTCAGTACTCTCCCGGTAGACTTTGTGACTTCGCGTCATCGAAAAGGAGACATGATGCTGACAGTAATACTTCAAGAACTGAACAAACTGTACGTGTAAAATGATATGAACGCGGCCATTTCTTGTCACTTTTTTGATTCAACGCTTTTAAGTTACCGATAAATTTATATGGAAAGTAACGTTTCCTTGTAAGTGAAATGAGCATCGGCCGAAATTTATTGTGGCCGAACTGAATGGCGGCCGAACTGAATAACGGCCGAAGTGAACGACGGCCGAAGTGAATGGCGGCCGAAAAACTTTGACCGAAATGAACGCGGCCGCAATGAAAACGGCCGAACTGATCGGTAGCCGCATCTCGCGTCACATCTTCGGCATCTTCAGATCTGCTATGCAGTTAATACTCGGTAATATTATCCTAAAATTTTCCGTTTGAGGTAAAAGTTTTCTGGAGCGTGCTGTCCAACTCCATAACAAAGTCGAAAGATCGTTAACGTAATATTAAACGGGACTTGAGCAATGTGTGCTGTCATGGCATCATGCGCTGCGCGTACACGATGAGCACTTCATAAGTACTGTATTAAACTCAAAAGCTCAATTTCTCAAACGTTTATCAAATTAACAAACAATTACTTTTCTCCGAAAACACCAGAAATATTGCTGAAACAATTTTTGCAGATCTTCCTCGCTTTAAAAATTGATTCTCGAATCACGAGTTTTTTTTCGAAAAAAGGCGCAAGCGATTTATGAACTGGCTAAGCCTTATGAAAATAACAGAAAATGTGCAATCTTTTAATTCGTATAACCAATGCAGAAGCTAATTAATTTACGCTCGAAGAAAGCATCCCGTCATTTTTAACGCTGAACTGGAAAAATTCTACGCAGGATCAAGCGAATGCACCCTGTATTACAGTGACAGCCTTTGCCCAATTTATAGACAAGCATATGTACAGTACTCCTCTTAGAATAAACGTAAAAATTAAAATGCCTAATTCTAGTCCCATGAGTGGAGCACGTTTGACTTTGACCAGTCGGGTGCGAAATGAAAAATGATGGGGGCAGGGATCTGTGTGCCTGTGTTGCACCTGTGTTGTCAGAAAAAGAGTTCGGATTTTCGCTTGCAGGTTTTAGAAATGCCTTAAAAGCGTGCTTTGAGTGGGAGATTTGGCCCAGCGGGGCGATTGATAGGAGCTTCAAACGAACCACCTCGATTCGTTGCAGAAAACGCACGTAGCATGTAAAAAAATTCAACATGGATTCCCAACAATTATCGTGCGAATATCGCGACTAGGTGGAGCGCCCCTTCAGTAAATTTACAGCATGTGAGCATGACATCTCCGGTGACATACCTGATGTTATCAGAAGCAGGCTTTCCTTGGACGGCGTTGGATCCAATCCGACTGGACGGACAGCACTGGTGGACGGCCCTGCAGACATCGCCTCTTTTTTGGACATGATGGCGCTGGGTGCACAATGCGTAGTGCTCAAGAAAACTACGAAAAGTGTAAAACAGAACTAGAAGGATTATTGAAACAACGGGAGCGAAGAAGAGAAAGACGCTTTACCTTGTTGTCCCAAGAAAAAAGAGAAAAACGTGCAAAAACAGAAAGTCTCCTGCAAATCATAAAAAAATATCGATCATTCTAGTTCAGATTTATTTTCCAGTTTAAAGTGTGTTCGTGCGCCAAAGAAAACCACATCCACTCTAGCCGTCACAGAGGGCGGTTACTCAAACGGCAGCAGCAACAAGTTGGTCTGCAGAGTGCCAGTATTGGGCGGTTGCGCGAGTGTCCCAACTTGCTGAATTTTTGCCTAGATTCGCACTCAATGACTTTGATCATTAAAATTTTATGGTTAATAAGATTCAGTTTTTTGGCACCATGCTTTCTCGCGTCCCATTTTACTCCTTCGTCGTTATCTGAGATTTATGGATATTTTGCCCTGGTTTTGATCAGACTGGGTCTGGGCGATGTGGAGGACATTGGGGTATGGGGATTGCGGATCGCGCGACCGATACTGCGCGTGCATCTGTAATATGTATTTCGAAATGCACATGACGGTCCTCGATGGTCGCGACAGATACTTGAGGTACCGATAATACTTCGGCCGTTTACATTTCCGCTTTCAGCTTTGATCATTTCGGCCAAAGGTATTCGATCGCAATTCACTTCGGCCGTCATTCTCTGCGGTCACGTAATATTTCGGCTAACCGCAGTTGCATGATGGATAGTGGATACTTCTATCGTCCATGTTACTGTAAAATAAAGAATTTAACCTAACCGCAAAAAGTATGTTACTGCTCTTCAAGTTGTGATAAGTTATAACCAAAACAATAACCTGACAAAAGGAAGAACAAAGGAAATTTAAAATCCAAATAATACGAGACCACGAAAACGTAAGAAAACATGAAAGCAAAAGAAAAATTTGAAAAATTAGAAAAACCAAGAAAATATTTAGAAAACAGGAAAACATAAGAAAACAAAGAAAGCACTGGAAGACGTAAGAGCACATAAGAACGTAAGAGCACATAAGAAAAACCTAAGAAAATATAACATACATCAGAAAATATAATAAACACATGAAAACAGAAGGAAACGCAATAATCGTAGGAAGCATAAGAAAACAAAAGCAAACTTGGAAAATTTCGTATGACTTACATTATACCGGCATTGTCCCTGATGTATGTGCTTTTTAATAAGAAATGTTTAGCTTTTATACTCGTGTTTCTACGAATACATGCATGAAATCTCTCTAAATCTATTGCAGGTACTCGGTAGACTAGTGTGACTGTGTGAGTGATAAAACTATCTTAATGAACATGATGCGATGAATAAGACATGCGATGGATAAGAAAACATGAGGTAATTAAAAAAATGTCAATAACAAAATCTCCAACATATCGACGGATGGACATCGGACTTTTGTTGCTTCCAGAATAAACTCAATATTGATATGTTTTTCACTGGCTACTTTTTATTTTCTCTACTATTATTAGCAGCACTTATTGCAAAAAAACTTTTTTTTAACAGTTTGTAAGCAGTTCGGTTGTATTTTGCTATTCATTTATTCGGTAAATTTCACATACACATGATATACAGTATTTTAACATTTTTTTAATAAGTTTGTATTTTCTTTTATGGTATATTGCCATTCTTATCATTGTACGAATTTTGGTGATTACATTTGAATTTTGAACCTTTTTTATATTTTGTTATTTGTTATGGTGTGCTTGTTGCTTATATTTTAACCATTTTTTTATTCTGTATTGTTTCTTCTTTTAATTTCGGCGATCGATTGTTATTTTATTACAATATAAAACAAATGGAAAAATGAATGTTGGTATTAAAAGAACAAAACAATTGTTTTCTTTATTTGCAATATGTATGGAAACGAGCATCGCTCACAGAAATACATTCAAATGAAAAATTTGTCCCAGTTGGCACGAGAAGGGACCGTACATAGCACACTCATGGCATTCTATGAGAATAACAGTGTTTCGCGAACCACAGTGATAGATTATCGTGTTCTGTTCTTGCACTGCAGACGACGGATATCGTGCAGCGCCCCGACTTTCGTGGAATCATGACTGTGGCCCAAGCAGCCAGCCCGCTCCGGAGATCGCTTGTTATCCGGCGGCGTCCCCTGCTGATGCTGACCCCCGGTGACTTCACGGCGGCGCGCCCACGAAGCGTATGGTAGTCGGCCGCCTGCAGAATCTGACGCAGGTGGATCTGGGCGGACCGCTCCACTCCCCATCGCTTGCGACTACGGTCAACTGCATCTGCTGGAGTTGCAGTTTCTGCGAACATTTGCGTTGAATGATTTCTTGAATAGAACTAGAAATCCGACGGAAATCTAGTGGTTGCAGTCGACGTATCAATGGTGATGAGCGGTCAGTTGGAGACTTGGGCCTCGTCCTGAATTCAAAGCGAATCTCGTTGCGATACAGCAACAGGCTGAGCAACTCCACCTCGCGAGGTGGCTTCGCGTACCGTATCTGTAGGCGTAGCCAATGCATACAGCCACCTCGTGCGGTTGAGCAACCGTACCATAACGAGATTCGCTTTGAATTCGAGACAAGGCCTTGGAAATTGAGTTACAGTACATATGGATGCAGTACTAGGACATTACATATGAATACAGTATTAGCTAGTACTGCTCTTTACAATACGTACATATTAACTGTATTTTAGAAAGGCAGCGCATAATTTTTCCATTACATAGCGCTGCCTTTTCAAAAAGCACTGACTAAACCGTCAAAACCAAAGTTCACCGAGATGAGCGATTGGATTCGATTGGCGATATGAAAACTAATATTATGACACACCCATAACTTCTAAAACTTATGCCGGAATGAAAACCCACTCTCCAGTAGCTTGATATTTTGACACTGTCACCTCACATAGTGTAGATGCCAGCTCGCTCCACTTACAACTGTCACATACAGTATCTACAGATATTATTTTATTGATAGTATGGGCACTACGCGCAAATTCGGGGCAATACTGGCTTTCTACAAGGAATACTGTATTATACGTATATTATGAGGATCAATACTGTAATATGCTCGTAATACACGCCGTTACCACACTCTCCGCGCGATCATATGTAGACAGTGCGCAGTGCAAGCTGAGAAAACCGATGAATTATCGATTGAAGAATTCCTGATTAGTGTGCTCAGCTCTGCCAGGCAGTACGAGTGGCCCATCCAAACTCCCTGTGGAGTCCAACCTGAATCGCAAACGATAATGTTTTAAGCATGCAGAAAGTCTCTACACATATAAAATTTTGATCGCAAAACAATGCGGTCAAATACTGTGAAGATTATGCTGGATAAGTTGTACTACTCGCATTCTTATGTTAAATTCACAGTGGACGTGACGCGAGATAACGTGATACAGCGGGGATATATTACGGATATTGGCAAGGATGGTCTCGTAATCGACTTTCATCATGATGGCCAGTCGTCGAGGGAACTGGTTGAGTTCTCTTGCATCCATACATTGCCAACCAAACCTGTTGCCGTCGAGCGATACCTTAAGCCACCCCAAGTGAGCTCCGAGGTGGAAGTGCTAATTCGCAGCGCAGTGTAAGTCCATGCGATTCTTAAGGGAAATGGCCCGGCAACATGGTGTCAAAATGGGATACGTGCACTAAAACTTTCGCTTTCGCGCACTCCGAATCAATTTTTTGTAACGCTTTATGTCATTCCAAAGTTAAATGATTTGTATAAATTATTCTGAAAACCGTTTGCGCGCGCAACATCCGGTTGCCGAGATATGGCGTGCTAAAATGAGTGAAAAGTTTCAATGCATTGTTGTGTACCAAAAGTATGGTTATTCCCCGACCTACTTGAAACTTTGCTGCAAAAGACGCATGGCCATAAAGTCGAAAGTGAACCGATTTCAGATCCATAGCATTTTTTTCCGATTTAAAATGAATTTCAAAAATTTTTAAATTCATTTTAAAATTATGGGAAAGTGCTGAACCGAAAACTGGTTCACTTTTGGCTTTATGGCCATGTGTCTTTTGCAGCAAAGTTTCAAGTAGGTCGGGTAATTACCATACTTTTGGTACACAACAATGCATTGAAACTTTTCACCCATTTTAGCACGCCATATCTCGACAACCGGCTGTTGCGCGCGCAAACGGTTTTCAGAACAATGTATAGAAATCATTTAACTTCAGAACGACATAAAGTATTACAAAAAAGTGATTCAAAGTGCGCGAAAGCGAACGTTTTACTGCATGTATCGTATTTTGACGCCATATACCAGGCCATTTCCCTTAACACATCTGCAGCGAACACATTAGTGCCCGTATATCTATAATAAATAATGACAATTCTAGCGACCAACCTATGATGTGGACAAAAGCCATTTTCGTAACACTGTTGCCGGATTACGGTAATAAGCGACATGGCATCGTGGGTGAACAGTTTGCCTTGGTCCGACTTCCAACCAAAAATCCATTCTCGTTAGTCGCTGTAAAAAGCCTTTGGTCACCATTTGTAGCCAGCGGTATACGTATCCGCCAGAAGCGGCAATGGCAAACGGTCCTACCGGCATCGTTCTACAGGGTGACCGTGCCGTATACCTCATGCCGGAGGCAGGATTGCCCCTTTCCACAATCTTCTTTACTTTACCATATGAGGCAGTTAGATACAGATATTGGACTGAAATTGGTCTGGCTGGATTTGACGGGCACGCTTCTTGTGTCGGCTGACGATGTCAGCGTCACTGTGGTGTGCCGTCGGAAACCTAAAGCACTACCCAACACATTCCATCAATTGGTGTTCCACCTGTACGATAAATTTGTTAAACACATTTCCCAAAACCAAAAAGGGTTAGCGCGATGTTTACGGCTGGTCTACACACAACAAAGTACGGATACAGGCAAGTGACATAGGTATATACTCCGAAACTATTATTTAGTTACCCAGTTTCTACTCGTACTACAATGATCGTTCCGGCGTATTCATTACTAGCTTGGATATTACAGCATATGTTCAAAGAAATAAATAATTCTACACCCCAGAGAAATGCTCCAGTAAACATATCATAATCCTACGGAAAATTGTTATCGAAAACTAAATTAAGTACCTACATGTCTAACAGTTGGTGTTAAGACCACTGAAAAACTGCTTACTTTGCTTGGTGTTAACCGTTGCGCGGCTTTTTATGATTTTGTAGACAGAGTTCACGAATTCGAGGCGTTTTCAACATTGCTGACTCTTCCCGATATAATGTTGCTGGAGGTGCTACTCAGTCTGGATAGAGTCGCCCAAAGGAGCTTGCAACGGTAAGCGTCCAGGCACTGCAAGCAGCCTCCTTGTTTAGAGTTCTGACTGTTTTTAGCGTATCCCGTCCTGTAACGCTTTGACATGCAGTGGTTCTATTATAAGTTTTAAATACGTATCTGCAGTACTTACTGCTGCTTCTTTTTATCAGGCATTGAATTTTTATCTTTATCCCGATTGTTTTTGTCACACATGAAGCCGCCTATCGGACATTCGTATTTTACAGCGTCTGTTGGAGATGGTACAGACTTCGATCGTGCTCCGCGACCGAGAAGTGTGTGATTCTGGATGCTCCACCAGGCCATTACATCAGCGGACATTTTCACCTGGTGGACATGGCGAATGCAATGCTGCAGTACTCGGCAGTATCGATGCGAAGTCTGCTGTTGAACCAGTTCTTTCCCAGCCAAAGCCACACGACTATGCTGCTCACACGAGAAATGCAGTTGCCATTGGAGCTTTTTGTGTCCTACCGCAGCCCGGTACTTGATCTTCGGGATGAACTGGAGCTGTATCCCGCAGTTAACAACATGCACATTCACTGTTCTATGAAAACGAAAAACTCGGAAAGACATACGTTAGGTACAAGACTACATGTAAATTTTAACTGTACTGATATCATTCGTATTGTGTGCCGTATAGCATAGTTTTACCTGTCATAAAGATTAAAGCTCAGCGGAGGCGTTTTGCGTTTTGTAATTATTATTATTATTATCGCAACTACAGTAGCCAAGCTCCATTACGCACTGAACAAGTCTGAATTGTTTACACGCACTAAACAAGTCTGAATTATTTTCTTGTTATTGTTAAATTAATTTTTTTGAATTTGTTCTCAGAATCGCATGTATTTTCAGTTTTTGCCAAGTCAATATGATGAATATACAGCAAATTTTGTAATCCAAATGCGGGGGACAAAGAGACAGCTCCGCCTCTTTACCTCCCGTCACTAATATAAGGGGAAAGACTCTATCATCCATCCAGTTATCTTAAGTGATTTATTTGGCAGAAATAATCATCGCTGCACCGGACGACATAACATGGCTGACGAATACTTTGGGCGCTGGTTGGACGTACTGCTGCACAACGAGCACCATGAGCGACACCCTTACGGGAATATCTCTTGTGCTGGACCAACTGCATCACCGCTGCTGGACGCACGGTATACAATCAAAGGTCGTGAACTGCTATGGCCTTGGAAAAGGGGAAGGAATAAGGTTAAAAGAGGGTTTGCTTCTTTGGCCTGTCACCGCAGCAGCGCTGGATGCTCTAACGAGGACAGTGGAAAATTTCTGTCCCACGGGCGCCAAGTCATCTGAAACTGATCAAAACTTTCTACCGCTTGAGACGTCCAGCAGACATTTTGGTCTGTTACAGCCATCCGGTTGTAAGCTAACGGGATTTCGTCCAGACGTTTTGAAAGTACTGATCCGGAAACCCCGTCTGGTGGGTGAAGACTACTTCAGTTTATGGGGCGTACAAAGCTGGCTTCGATGTTCTTGATTTTGCTCATTATTTCCCGTGCGCGAGCAATCTTCAAAAATGCCGTATTGCACTTTTTTCTTTTGCCGTGTAGTACTCGTATGTTTGCAGTTTTCACCCATAGACCAACTACAAGATTTACAGTGATTGTCACCGGAACTTATTGGCCGAGCGAAGCGAAGCCTTCTGTACTCAGCTGGCCACAAAGTCGAGTGCTTGTCGACCGAAGCGAAGCGAAGGTCATCTGTGTTCAAGAAAACCGGACACAATTTTTGTCGGTTACGCTTCAATAAATTTAAATAAAATATGTTAGAACACACCAAAAAATGTTATATAAAAAATATTTTTCATAAAAAAATGCATTTTTAAACAGTTTTAGAACAAACTCGGCCAACAGTTTATTAAACTTTGTTTCTCGCTTCGCTTCGGTCGTTTAGTGAAAGCCAACAGTGGTGCACTTTCCTAGTATACGAAGTAATGTGTGTGTACACGATAACTTTCGAAGAAGTTGTGCGATCCTTGTCAAATTTGGTACAATGATAAAACCCAAAAGTGAGGTCGAGCTTGTTGATGAGCCAGATCTGACCGGAAGCAGGAAGATCTGGAACTCTGCGGTTAGTCGGTGTTCAACAAGAAGTCGTTCAGCAGTTTCCATTTGACGGTTGTTTTTAAATTCTGAGGTAAGTGAAATGTGAGCATTGGGAAGCTGAAAGAAATAGTGTGCTTCATCTGCATAATCGTTTGTGTACTCGCGATAATAATCTTCTTCGAGAAGCGTAGTGCAATCTACAATGGACTTCAAAACGGTGTTTCTGCATACAACAAACCCACCCATATCATATATGCACGTTATTTTCTTGAAGGTTTTTTTATACAGACACTGCTGATTTTGTCTGTAACGGTTTGCTGATTCCCTCCCAGCACTATGCACTTACGTTTTGACTAAAAAATGTTCGGTTGGAAAGCTCTCCTGGCGACACCATCTGCTATACTGTTGCCGACTCGAAAGCTGATACAGCAAATATCCAAACGAATGAACTACCGAATCTGCGAGAGTGCCTTAAATCCAACCGTTTACACGTCAAAAAGAAAAAATCGCACTTATTGCTAATAAGTTCAGTGCATAACCGCGAACCGACGTAAGCGTACCGCTGAACGGACATTAACTGCTGCCAGAGAAGTCAGCGAAACATCTCGGAGTGATACTGGATGAACAACTTATTTGGGCTGACCATGCTAAAAAAGCCCAAAAGAATGCCGGTGGTATATCACTGCTGAACGTGTATAAGTCGGTCGAACACGCCAACGAAATGCACTTTTCTGTGCCTTGATTCACTCTGATCTCTGCGCTTAAGCGAAACATTAGTCACGATGCATCGCAGTGGCCTCCACGCGGCTGCAAACTACGCGGGACGTAACCACGTAATCGTTCATGGACAAACATGGGATCCTATCCCTTTTCACGGGATGGAAATAAAAGCAAGCGATATGATTGTACGAGATGAATCATTCGGAGAAATTTTACATGCCTCAGTATGCCACCGAGATGGTGGATATCAGACAGCACTGAAGCCGTACAACCTTCGAAAAGGAAATCGCACCATAATCAAGGCGGAAGCGAAGAAACAAGTCGGCAAAACAACCTATTTTTGGAAGCTTAATATATTGTGGACGTTTTTTGTTGCTTCTAATTTGTCTGACATGTTCGATATTCGTACACTTACCAGGTTAGTGCCTTGAAGTATGCATTGAATATTGTCAATATTGATTAAGAACTCCGGTTTCTGACTATCTTTACTCGTACAGTACTGTTTGTACCAGTTACGTTTGGCCAGCTTTAAAATCCCAAGCTAATGCGCACCCTAGAGTAACCGGAAGCGGGCTACCTGCTCCATGTAAATAACAGTAACACATTGCTTGACTTCATACCATCAGCCAGACTGGATACATTTCGCAGTGTGACAAATACCCTCTTTGATCTGCAGGCTTTGCTAGAGTATCTGCTTGAGCTTTCGCAGACTGAGTACCTATATGGTTGAAAATTATTTCAGCTTTATTTTATACATATACTGTATACACGACCCGTACGGTCGTTCATATGGACGGTCCACTGTGCCACCTTAAATTTTAAAGCTGAATTCCTTTCGGTTTTTTGCTTTACTCTATTAAGGGAAATGACCTGGTACAGTATATTGCACTAAATTCGTGTATTGTACATGTCATCCACGGGAACATTTGCCTTCGCGCTCTTCCAAACATTTTTTCGGTTTGCTTTTGGACATTGGGTAGTTAAATAAGTTGTCCACAAGGGCGTTAACCCAGTTTGCAGTCACAGCGTCTGGTTGCCTAGTTATGAGGGAAGCAAATTCGAAAAATTTTTAATTTATTCGAAAAGTTGAAAGGAGTCAAAATTCTGTTTCCATGTCAAAGCAAATTCTAATTCTTTGCATGACTATGACATTATGAAACTATTTACTAATACCCGTATCCAATTTAATTCTATTGTATGTAGTGATAGCCGTATAACAACCTTTGTCCATATTAATTTTATGCATCTGTACGCGCAGCAATTAATACGTTCCCCTTTATCTGTAGAATTTACAGATACCTAAACACTGTTGCATATACAAATTCATATAGATATGCATTGTTATCCGGCATTGGATACACGAAATAAGACCGGAAATTCTAAGGCAATGGGGTTCGATATTTAGCAAGTGGTACGTACTACGTACATTTGCGAAATTCTATTAGTGTATAGTGCATATATGCATAGAGCGTACCAAAACAATGCATGCGACACAGTGCCGTACACTCATTTCTCCTGCAGCGATTAGTTTTTGCTGTCAGTGCAAGTTCTGCGACCTATGAGTAGCAGAAAATTGTAAAAATTTCTCCTTTTTAAGGCCAAGTTCTCGTACACTTCACACCCAAAAATCTAATATTTTGCGACTGCTGGCCTTTACGGCGTTCGGACAGATTGCTCATTATTTCGGCTTCGTGGATTTCTTAACCACCTTACCGTGATTCTACCGGTAACGTTTTAATAACGGTATGCGGTTTCGTCCTTAACATGTATTTGTAGCCGGTTTATTCCATCACACTGCGGTTACAAGTTGCTGACACGAGTAATGATTTAATGCTATTACAGTGCTAGTAGGTATTTCCGATCAACTGGCAAACTGATCATTAGTCGTGAATTAGAAACCGGTACATTTTATCTGCATGCGGTTTTCTTTTATGTGCTCTAATCTGGCTTTGGAGTTAATAAACTGGGATGTACAACATGGAAGCGGACGTGTTTAACAGCACAGCGTCTTTGTTTCTGGCGGATAATGGTTTACTGGATCCTCATGCAATCTTCATTAATACAACCGCAGCGTCTGTAGCGGCTGTTGCGGTAAATGACGATGGACTGAGTGTCTGGTATCCTTACACGTTGACGCAAGTCCGGAGAGCGTTTTATGTCACATACATTTGCTATCCCTTTTTGTTGGCGTTGTGCACAGTGGGAAATGTCCTCACGATATTTGTTCTTGCTCACACAAAGCACAAAGGCAGCACGAATACGTATATGATGGCGGTTGCTGTGGCCAATTTACTTATCCTGTAAGTTGAGGCAGTAGTGATAACGAACTTCCGTTTGTCAAAATGTATAAAATTTAATTTTTTTTGGCATTTAAATCTGTTTAATGAGCTCTGTGCAAATTCCTAATTTAAGTGAAGTAGGCAGCCGACATTATTTTGGCGTCTTCTAATTTAGTGTTTTTTTATACAGTTTGCTGATAATTATGTTCATCGGGTGCTTGTGTCCTAATATCTGTCAAAAACAACCGAAGCATTTTTTATTGAAATATTTTTATATACTCGATTTACTAAAATGATTTCGTTACTCTACGAAGAGCATAAAAATAGGAGGCTTGGTTTCGATTTTTTATTAACGAATAATTATACATTCCTCTCAATTAGGGTTTGTTGTTGTTGTATTGCAGATGGCTCTATATGCCGACCTACATTTTTAATATTATCAGCAAGAAACCATGGGCGGGAAACTTCAAGTTTCACTTTTATCAGTTTTTCGGGCTTCAGAAGTGGTGGAACGACACCTTCGTTCATTTATCTGATTGGTAAGTACAAAACTTCGTACTTTATACCGTTATATTTCACAGACAGTAATAGTATTATCATGATAACTTATTATCACAATATATCTGTGGCACTGCACGCTTGGCAGGGAATCTCTTATAATGCAACGATGCTATATTGCTAGTTGTTCATCGTTTAAATTTGAATAATTTTCAGTAATGCCAGCGGCTGTATCTCGCGAATGCCCCTTTTGTTGCTGTGATGACTCTTGCCAAATAAACATATCATACACCACATTACCATCTCAAGCATAATATATTTTTCGCCTCCAGCAAGGTTCACTTGTATGGTCAGTGGTAAATTACAGATACCTGTACAAATATTTGTGCATCCTTAATTGTATACTATTTTATAAAGTATCCATAGTGTGTCGGAATGTTTTTTCCTTTGTTGCTTCGGTATTCCTTATTGCAGCCTGTCACCTTTGTTATACCTGTTAGATAACCGGTCATCGACTCCCTGTTTAGCGTGTTACATAATCCTTTTTTTTATTTTTTTTATTATTTTTTGACAACCGGCTGGAGTGCTACGTTGTGGACTTGTGGCTACACATGGTGCTTATGCACCGCGCAGGATTTGGCGTTATGTATAGCTACATCGTCATGCTCCAGCGGGCTGACATCAGCAGTACATCTAAACAGTGTTAGTATTGGTTAGACCCCTTCTAGTGAAAATGACCGGTTGTCAAAACAATAATGTCGAAGTAACATTCATGCCAGTGATAGACCCCTTCTAGTGAAAATGACCGGTTGTCAAAACAATAATGTCGAAGTAACATTCTAAACTGATCTCTGCTGCCAGTGATAGTAATTAATTACATGAAAGCCTCGGGAGAGCGAGGCCCCATAATTCACCTTCGGTGAATACCGGTGTCTGTAATAGTAAAGACCGTTCGCATTGATCTCCAGAAGAGCTTTTATCTACTGTTGCTTCATTATTTTTGTTAATCACTAATAATTAATATTTTTCAAATCCGTGTTCATAAAACTTCTATCATCATTTTTTTAAATGAGCTGTCGATATTTGATGTTTTCGGAGACAATAAGGAAACTGGTCGAATACAATAGATTGTTTCAAATTTAAAACCAATGCTCAATTCTTAATTCTTTCTTAGAGTTTCACTTTTTAATTTTTATTTTAAAGAAAACGACACAAAAACTGAA